TGAGACAATTCAATGAGAAAAATAAGTCTTTTAAATGGTGCTGGGACAATTGGATATCCATGTGCAAAATAATTTAGAATCTTACTTCATACCAGTCACAAAAATTAACTCACATGGATCAGAGATTTAAACCTATGTGACTATTTCTCCTACTGGTGGCATGCAAAGAGCCACCACGGAACTTAATGATGCTCGTGTCCCTCTCACCAGTACATTCCTGAAGGCCTTGGTGATTGGTATGCTCTCTGTGTATCCCCTTGAAGGAGCATGATCCTTTCTTGGGGCTTCCTTTTCCTTACGTAATGTATTTATTCCAGCATGTCCCTTCCTTCCCTGTCTGCCTTAGCAAGATTCAGGCCAAATTTAGGCATTTCAGATTCCATCAGTGTCTCTGCAGGCTTCTAGGAATCATCAGTTTGTGCATCCCTTTCAGTCCTTGGCAGAGTGTTGAATTCCGTGTCCTTGGAGTGTTCCCCAAGTTAATAAACTCTCTCTTATCCTGTTTTATATACTGGCCCCTAATCAAATACTCTCAAAATCTGGCCCTGTGAATACTCTCCTGGCTCCTAACAATACATCCTAGCTAATTCTTGCAGTTTCTTTGTTGCGTGGTCCTTTTAATCTCTTAAAGGCCCAGCATATCCTAGACTGAATTAATGCTACAACTTAATCCTAGTTACCAGCCTGCACACCAGCAGAGGAGGTGGGGCAGGCCTTGCAGGGAAGAAGGTATGCCAGCTCTTATATAGGGAGGGGTGGGCTGGCTCCGAAGGCTTTGAGAGTTCAGAGGAGTCTGGGGAACCAAAGACTTTGGGGCATCCACGCAGATGAACTTGTCCTACATGTCAGGTTCCAGGTTTTCCCCAGCGGAACCCTGCTCTTAGTTAACAAACTCGCCTCGGTTGTTCATTCAATCATCTTTGTAGTTGTCAGCTCTTAACTATTCAGTTTACAGTTTGATCTTCAGCTTTTTTCTCCTGCAATGCAGGAGACAGGGGTCTCTTTTTAAGGACTCTTGGCCATCATATTTAGTTTTCAGTTGTTTGTTAAAGGTCCGTACCTTTTAATTATTCCTCTGTAGGAACCTGACACAACTAGTGATTACTAGCCAATTCTACTGCCCTTTGAAAAGGGCATTGTTCCTCTGTATTTTTCAAATGCCTGAATCATTGCATCAGCCAGGTGTTCTCTACAGAAAAATTCTCCCAAGTCACCACTGGGGAATTTTTTTAACAATTGGGGTACTACCTTGTGTCAGGGACTATTGATGCCTCACTTACCACCTAGGATGGGATCCTTATTGTAAGACTCACAGTGAGCCATTCCCAAAACCCTAGAAGGATCTGAAGCAAAATATTGTACATTTTCACCTGATACTCAAAACAAGGAGTCCTGTGAATACTCTCCTGGCTCCTACTGGTACATTCTAGCTAATTCTTATAGCTAATGCTTTGTAGCAAATTGTTATCGTTTCCAAGCAGGTTTAGTATTGAGTACAATGGAGAAACCATAGGATTAATTTTCTTTCTGTAAAACTATTTGAAATTTAGAATCTGTCCTCCCCTCACCATACATAACTACAAACCAGAGAACTAATCATAACCAACCAACCAACAAAACAAAGTAGTTATAAAGAAAAAGGAATTGGAAGGAAAATAGAAGGTGAATATTAGAATTAGAATTGGGAAAAAAAGTAAAATATGTGGCTACTTCTTACAAAGATACAAAGGGAAATGTTTTATCTTTTAATAATTTGGTGGGTGTGGCAAGAAGAGAGGAATAGAAAGAAGCCCAAAATAAATTTTGTCTACCGCAAATCTTGGTCAAGTATGACACCTAGAGGCCGCACAAACAGAATTCCTTTGGGTGATTTTTTTTTTTTTTATAAGGCAAGATGTATTTATGTAGAGAAAATTATATAAAGGTTTTATTTCAAAATGGACATTCTTAGATACTTCCCTGTATAACACTCTATCAATGAATAACTTTGCGTATATTCCTTCATTTACTTATTGTTTTTAGTCATAAAAACTGATGATATTGAAAGTTGTTTCTGTTAAGTAACTGAATTTTTCATGATTAATTTTAAATGCTGGTACTAATCACTAAAAGTCACTGTCCATATACCTTATAGTTCATGAGGGTCATGAAGTATCTTTATATGATTATATTCTAATAAAACAGAAAACACGTGTAGACTTTTACACCCCCTCACTCTCTGGAGTTTGGAAATGATAGCAAAAATAATAAAAACAGATGAAAGGACACCACATGAGAGGTGATAGGTTCAGAACTGTCTCATTTCTAAATATTGAAAAAATATGCTCTGCATTTTTCATCCATTGGTTTGGAAAACTTTTATAGCCCTGGCTCATTAATACTTGAACAGTTCTTCATGAAAAATGATAAACGATTTGCTTCATGGCAGGCTGTACAGATGGTCAATTTAATCTGCATCCTTGAGACTTCTCATGACTAAATTTTGACATCATGTCATTAAACATTTGTGTATTATTTATATCATATTCTAGAAAACAAAGATTGCTATGTCATGCTATCTCTTGCCGTTTATCAGTTTTATTGATAGGATTTATCTAATTGGACACTGTAGCTTTCACAAAGGAACATGTATCTGAATATATATATCACTTCTGTCTCCTCAGAGACCCATACATTTTTGTCCTCAAGTGCGATAATGACATTGTTATAGAACAGATATGTGGCAGTGGTGGAGACAAATGTTTCTATGACTTCATTTCTGTAACCTTGTCCAGAGATGTCTTTACTAACTGTGTGTGTGTATGTGTTTGCATGTGACCCTTAAGCCTTGTATCAACTGAAATTAAAAGACGGAAACCAGTTGCTGCTTATTTTCAAACACTGCTGCAGAACATTTACTCTAGTTGTGTATTTTAAATGGCAACAAATTTTGACTTAGAAGTTGTCCCTGGCTCACGTATAATGCTTGAAGTGGTAGCTATAATGTTTAAACTCTTGACCATTTGAGTAATTACTATAAAACCATGGATAAATGGAAAGATCAGAATCTTACATTTTCTTTTGACATTAAGCTATTAAGTATAGCACCTGATGGCTTTTCCAAGGGCTAAGTGATTGCACGTTAAATTGTACTAACTTGACTCCTTAGATTCTCGGTCTTCTGTTAATGAATTTCTACTTGGTGAATTGATTCGGACTTCCCAAGAATGCTTAGAATGGGCTGATATTAACAGAGTCCTTCCAGTTAGAAATCCTCCTTGTGCCAGAGTTAGAGGATTTCAGGGTTTGGGGCCCTACCACTAGCTGCGAAACAAAAAGAAACAGGATAGGAAAACACTGCCATTGTAGAGCGGTTTTGTAGAGTTTTCTCTAAGAGGACAGAACCAAGGAAGCCCCAGCTGGTCCTATTTTCTTCTTTGGTGTAACTGCTGAAACAAGTGCTCCTTCAGGGAGCCATACATTAGGTAGGATTGGGCTTCCTTTGTATCCCTTATCAACCTATAATCTTTTGATTGTTGCCTATTTTTCACCCCTGAAGAAATAGTAATCCACTCTAGCTTATCTCTCCTAATCACAGACTCACAGAGCTAGGGCTCTCTGAGCTTTTAATTCCCTCTTAGAGGCCTAACAGAGTGGAAAGTAAACAAAGACAGAATTTGCAACCTTCAACGTTGCTAATTTCCTCTGATGTCAGAATACTTAAACAGGCAGGACCTGGGAATTATTTGATCAAACCTGCTTTTAATCTAATGCATGCAGAAGGGCTGTGTCTGGAATGATCCGCAAAATGACAGGCGTCCCAAGAGAGCTTTATGGAAGGTTTCCTCCTTCAGAAACAGTAGCTGCTTCATTTCGAACTCTTGGGTTGGCTGTGTTGATGGAGTAAATTCACAAAGAGTAGTTTTCCTGCTTTTTACATTTTATTTTATTTGGCCAAATAAACTGACCGGATAAGAATAGTTTTCTTTGGCTTTCTGTTTGCTGAGTTTTCACTTGGCTACATGCCTTGATATTATTTTAGCTTTACTAGGAAATGAATGAATAAAAGGTTATTATTGGGGGAAAGAGAGAAAGGGCAAAGCATTATCTGACTTCACACACATTCCTCTGTTGCTACTGGTTTAAGAAAGTGAAAACACAAAGAACTAAAGACCCAAACCCAGTCGGTTATTTAGATTATGAAAGGCATTTTTCTACAGGAAGAGTGGAGAAATTAGTGCCAGAGATTTTTAAGTGGAGAATTTACTAATTAGGAGATATCCAAATAATGGAAGCAGTTTTCCCTTTAATTTTACTCACTATTGTGTGAATGCTTAAAGGTGGCATATTTTTGATGAGAGAATAAATAAAGGGATAGCATTTTTATATACTTCATATCTGAAATAATTTTATTAGTTTTTGTAAAATTTTATTCATGTAACTAGATAGCATTGTGAATACTAAATAGTAATGCAGTTTTAAGGGTTATTAAAAGACAATGTGCTTTTGTCACAGTAGATCGATATTGTTCATATTTTTATTGAGAATAGATTAAGTTTAAAAACATTTAAAAAAGTGTTTAAGTGCATTTCAACAGCAAGTAAACATCTCTGCGGTTTAACTATGTTTTTCACATCTCATCATAAATACGTACTGCTCCCACATAAAGTAATTCAGAAGTCACCGCTTAAAAATAAATTATAAACACCGATGCTTTGTGTAAATGTCCACTAAGAATAACATGCCACTAGATCTAGCATTTGACTCCTTGGGTGACGGTGAATTTCAATGCCTGTTATTTGTCATGCTGAAGCCTGTCGGGTGATGATTCTTTTTATTGGTGTATCCTTCCAAACATATTTCATCGCACCATGTGCACGGGAGTTCTTTGGGCGGGTATGTTGGAGCTGCGTGCCCCCTCTCCCCTTCGCTCGCTTCCTTTCTCGCCCTCGCGCTCTCGCCTCCCCCGCCTCCAGCCCCCTCTCGCTCATTTGGCTCACGCCCCCCTCCTCTCTCTCCAGCTGGCGGCGGGGGCTGCGCTGCCTCCCAGACCTCGAGGACCTGCTCAGTCAGCTGGGGCCCCCTGCGGACGGCTCCCTCCCTCGCCGCTAGGACCTGCCACTCTGCGCGGAATGGCAGCCGCAGCAGCATCTCCGCCAGCGGCGGCAGCGGCGGCAGCCACGGCCACCGCGGACGCTATTGTTCCCTGGTGTTAAACGCGCTTTCCCTTCTTTTCATCTGAAACGAACAATAGCAGGGAAGAGCTTTGCTTTCTGAACTCCTTGGGAAGACGTTCCGAGGGCGAAGAAAAATTCCCTGTCGACCGCGTTCCGGATCTGGACCCTGGAGCGGCTGCGGGCGGCATGGGGCTGCAAGCGAGGCGCTCGGCGTCCGGGAGCCCAGGGGCTGCGGGGCCGCGCAGGGGCGTCCTGCAGCTGCTGCCGCTGCTGCCGCTGCTGCTGCGCCCGGGCGCCTGCGGGGCTGCGGCTCCAGGCGAGGCTGAGGCCCCCACCCTCTATCTGTGGAAGACCGGTAAGTGGGACGGAGTTCCCCCTTCTTCCCATCTTCACATCTAGGTCCACGCTGCTAAGCTGCTGGACTTCAGGAGGGACCCCTGTGCTTCTTGATGGTCCGGGTGTGTTGGGGTCCTAAGGTAAAAAGTATGATTCCTAGGAAGCAAATGAGGTCATGTTCGATGCTTTTGGGAAAGAAAAACATAACAACTAAGAGACTTTATGAGTCACTGGAATGATATTTCTCTCGCGGTTCTGTAGTTAATGAGGACAACCAACTGCACTTTCATAGTGAAGTGCAATATTTTTAACCTCTGGATTCTCATTGAACTAGGAGTTTCTTAAATATATTTCTAGCAGAGAACAGGCAAACAGTTTAGCACCGGTCTTTATTTTGTCTTTAGGCAATTTGCTCAGTGCCGTGGTATATATGCCTAGAGAGTTGAATTTGTTAAGTATAGCTTTGTGGTATGTGGGACACGTGGAAATAAGCCAAGTGAGGGCAGTTCTAACAGTTCAAGGCAAATGGAGCTCCAGTGAGCTCCCTGAGACTGTGTAAAGCTCAATTCTTAATGAGTGAATTGCGGGATTTTTTGAAGTGTACAATTTTTAAGGATGTTTGAGATTAAACTTTTCCTGCCTTGCTTTGTTTTCAACCAACCAACAAAAGCAGCCGCTAATTGTCCCTTAGAGCCTCCTGGCAAAGTGCTGACTAGAGGTCCTAGTGGGGCAGTGACAGGCAGGCAAACAATACCAAGTGAGGAATTGCCACCCCCTCTCCAGCGGCCTTTCTCCTCTGAAGGACACTGGGAAATCTTCAGCGGACTTGAAACTTCACATGTTTATAGCAATAAAGTGGGAATCATTATTCCTATTGCTTAGAGCCAGGGATAAATTGAGAGTTTTTTGGCAATGCCTACATTAAGATAAGGATGCAGTAGAAAGGAGGGAAAGTACATATTGGTCATGGAATCGCAAACAAGTTACGGAGAGTGGGTCTCTTTCCCGGCTTCACCTGTCTTGTAGCCCCCTGCTGCACAGACAGATCAGTCGACTCTACAATTACACTGATAACCTGAATTTTTAAGGAAGTTGTATCAATCCAGTAACTTAATGAGGAGATCGAACAGAAATTTATTTAAAGCCAAAGTACATAATTTGCCTCAGAATGTTGCATGAAATAACACACACATGTTTGGAAAAGCTATTTGGACGTTAGTGTTAGTGATTGCTAACATCTGCAATTTACAGATCAGTTGATGAGTAGACACAGATGAAATCAAATTAATTTAAAACAAGGAGTTGAAGATCTTCTGTAATTTAGCTAAAGCCACGGTTTTACTTTGCAAAAGCTCAGTCATAACAATAAACACTAATCAAACTATAATTTACCATTAAATGGTATTATTTGGATGCTTGGAAAGAACTTCTCAGGTAAGTAAGTGTTAGACAAAATAGAACTTGCCTGGTTGAAATTTGTACAGTTAAAGTAATAAAAAGCCAAGCAGTAATTCAGATTGAAGAAGAGTCTAGGCACCATTCACTGTGCAGCATCTGAGGTGCCAATATATGTCAACATAAATGTCATGGTGGGAGCACAAGCCAATAAACAGTTTAAAATAGTGGAAAACTCCCAGGAGCAAGGATGTGGAGACCTTGGTTCCAGTGCCCGTTCCAGCTCTTGCTGCCTATGGGAATGTTGGCAGTTCGCTTAACTTTTGACCCATAGTTTTCTCAGTTGCATATAAATGTGGTGATACCTTATTCTGACTGTTGATAGTGTTATGAAGATCGAATGAATGAGCTATGAGAAAGTAATCTGTAAACTTCAAAGTTATGTGCACGTACAAATATAAGCTAGTATGATGAGGATTATAATGGTCTCTTTTATAGTGATCCTCAGTTTGGTGAAAAAAAAGTGAATTAAACTAGAGAGCAAAATAATGACCTCTTTATTTATTTCCAGAGGGAAAGGAGACTTTACTATATCGCAAAAGGAATTGAGAGTAGGTATCAGGGGAACTAGGGAATATTTAAAGGAAAGGGTTACACTGTAAATGAAAATATAGAGATGACAGAATCACGTGTTCCCCACTTGATGAAAATAAAGGCTCAGACAGTCCAGGATGTCTATTCCAGGGGGATAAGCTTGGTCTTGGTGCAGCATTTTATTGGGAGTCACATTATTGGTGACAGCGTTGATTTAAAGTGAAGTAGTGATAGGTACACTGGATGAGGGGCTGGGACAGGAACTCCATCTGTGTTTATCTCTAATCACTGTATCACATTGGCAGAGTCATTTAATGACTTTGGTTCTTGGTTTTCTATTTTACAATATTTATTGATTAGAAAAGATGATATCTAAAGGCCTTTTCAGCCCTAAAGTGCTTCATATGTATGTACACATATGCATATATGTATACTATAAACATATATATGCATATTACACATATATAGTATATTAACATGTATATCCATATAGTGAATATATATACATAACATGTAAGGTTTATGATACATAATATATAATGTATATTATAGGCAAGGGTAATGTATAGTGTATATTATATGAAAATTTTATTGTCAACTCACAACAAAGACTTATTGAGAACTCATTGTGTGACTTATATGAAGTCATGGTGGTAGAGGCTGACTAGAATATTGTCATCCTTGTCCTCAAGAGATTCACAATTGAACAGTACTGTAAATGCACAACAATTACAGCATGGCATACCATACTCATGGACAAAACACTATGAAAGTAGAGAGGTTGTGTAATTGATAAAGGGAGCAAATAAAATGAAAGACATAACAACGTTCCTGGGTCTTGAAAGTACTGCACCTCAAGTCCAGGATGTTTGGTGGGAATGAATGGATTTAATGCCAATGAGGTGAGATTGTAAGAAAACCTTCAAACTGTGGTAAAGATGTTGAAATTTAACCTATAAGCAGGTGGAAGCCATTGGAAGCTTTGAGCAGAAGATTGACATATTCTCTGCCCAGAATGAGGAGTGTTAATAGGCTGGGAGGTCAGTAAGGAGAGGGACTGAGAAACAGAGGGGAGCAAAACTAGGACGATAGAAGTTCTAGTGAAGGGTGAGTAGAGGAGGGCTGGGGATTATATTGAAGAAGTGTTAGCTCAGCTTTAGAGTGCAGAGGACAGTGTCTGCCAAGGAGGCGAGGAACTAATGCCATCGAGATGTCTATTATATCTGTACCTAGTTACTTGAGACAGAGGATGTGAAAGAAGGAAGAGCAGATTTTGGGGGATTGGGGAGGAAGAATATCATTTTAAATCAAACATATTGAACTTGAGGCAGCAATAATCTATTCAGATGAACACATCTAATGAGAAAATTAGTGAATGAGTGGATAGTTTAGAAAGAAGAGTTAGGCTTAAAGTGTAGGCTTGGAATTCAATAAATGTATGATATTTCAAGGCATAGTAGTGGGAGAGGTCATTAAAAGAAGAAAAATATTGAAAAGAGGGGCCAGGATACCTCACAGAGACTTTTGAGACTTACAGGGCTACTATGGGAGAGAAACTAGTGGAAGAGCCTGAGAAAGTGTCATCAGGACAGGTCCAAGGGAAAGGGCAGTAGGTGCGAAATAGAAGGAGATAGTTTAAGAAGGGGATGGTGGCAAAAAGTATAAAAAATTTCCAAAAGGCTGGAAAGAGATTATGAAATATTTCAGAAAAGGTCAAGTAAAAGGAGGAATTGGTAAGATAATTAACAGTGTTTTGGGAAAGGACGTTTTAAGTAGAGTGGTAGAGGTATAAACTTGATTGAATAATAAACAAGATAGTTGAAAAGGTATAGTATCAATAGAGTCAAATAACCAACTGGTATTTAGGTTTCTCCACTACACTGTTTTTTTTTAACAGAGAAAACCCAAGAATATAAGATATTAAATTTATTAAAATGTAAAAGTTAAATGTTTCAAAAGTTTTGTGTCACAGTCGTTTGAAAGATAACTTGTCTTTATTTGTGTTAATAATTGAAAAACATATTTCATACACACAGAGTAAAGAACTGATATTATTGGAAGATGAATAATTACTATTAAGTGTTAGTTTTTCAGTTTTTAATATTATAGAATATGGAATGTGGTTGACTTAAGAGTCAGGCAGAAAGTAGTGAAGATATCCTACTTTTATCAACTTCTGTCATAGAGGTATATGTTCAAAAAGGCCTTAATAAAGTAATTAAATTTATTTTTATAATAATGAAATTACATTGAAATCCCAGAAACAGGTACACACTAGCCATTTTTCAGAATTCAGGTGATGAGGATATTTACAGATGTGAATTTTCTCTCAGGGAAATTACTTCTCACATTAAATGCTTGTTAACTAGTTCATCGAATGCAACACAGTACTCTTAATGGCAATCACAGTGTCCTTTACACATAAAATAATCCCTTGCTTCTTCCATATGAAGCAAAAATGTGTTAGCCTTTTCTTTTTCTTTCATGTACTTGTACTAATATAAAATATTCTGCCATGTATAGGGAAAAATATCAATCCTAATCCTACCATTCATTAAATAACAAAGGAGAGAGGGATGTCATTCCGGGTAGTAGTAACATGAGGGTGCCATTATCCTAATATAAGTGTTTTACACTTCAGTTGTGCTTGTAATTTGCCTTAATTTGGAATGTGACACAGTTTGCTCATTAAATGGAGGCTAGAGATGGAGCAGAGTAGACCGAATGTGAACATCAATGTCAGTTAATCCAGAGCAACGTGCATCGAAATATTTTATCCATATTACCTATGAAATAATTTCATCTCCATGAATATTGCTTTTTCCATCTCTAATATGGATAAATAGTATGTATTCTATAGGGGTTTTCTGAGGATTAAATATGGTAACATATGTAATGTACTAGTAGAGTGCTTGATACATATTGGAACTTCAGTAATTGCTAATTCTTACTATTTCTGTTATTCTATTATAGAATACAATGGTTCCTTAATTTTCTGACCTTGAGCAAGTCCAGTAATGTGCATTAGCT